TGGGGAGGAGGAGGGGGAGGAGGAGGAGGAGGAGGAGGAGGACGAGGACGAGGAGGAGGAGGAGGAGAGAGAGGAGGAGGAGGAGGAGAAGGAGGAGGAGAAGAGGAGGAGGAGGACACCTTCGGACGCTGGGGGAGAGGAGGAGGAGAGGAGGAGGAGGAGGAGGAGGAGGAGGAGGAGGAGGAGGAGGAGGAGGAGGAGGAGGACACCTTCCAGCACGCCAGTTTCCCGGTGCCCGAGGCCGCCTGCGAGCGCCTCGTGGCGCAGGCCCTCTGCGCCCGAGTCCTCCTCCCGCGCCCCTTCTCCGCGGCCGCCTCCTCTTCCGGCCAGACTGGCAGAAGGCCGGACTGGCAGATTGGATTGGGCCCCAGGGGCCAATCTGGCCTGGCCACATGGCAGGATTTGGGTTCTTCGCCAGACTGGATTCGCGTTGGCTCCCTCGCCCGATTGGGCCTGCCAGATTGGCGCCGGATCAGCTTCGACTGCACAGTCTTTCCCCCCTCCGCCGTTCTGTGCTCCAGTTTTGTCGGGCCTGTCCCTCTACAGGAGGGATACCCCCAAAATAGTCCAAACAATAGCCTGGGGACGATGTTTTGATTATGTTTTTGAGCATCTGGGGGGCATTTTGTTGAGCAGTTTTCACGTTTCGCCCAGAATCCCCCTGTAGGGGGACAGGCCCGACCCAGCTATAGTTCTGGCGCGGCCCGCCTGCTTTTCGAACGCGCTGGTGTCCGCCCTCGCTGCTGACAAACAGGAGGGGAAAAAACACACAGACACAATGACTCGCCGATCCCCCAGAAAATCTGAAAAATATGGGAAGTGGGGGGTGAAGACAAAAGCCCACAGAAAAATGGAAAGTATATGGGGGATCCAGTTATATTTGTATGTATTTATTTATGTGTGTGTGTGTCCCGCGCCGCACCAGGACATTATGTGCATGTATGCATTTATGTGTATGTATCTGTGTATTTATTTGTGTGCATTTATTTGTGTATTTGTGCGTATGTATTTGCGTCTGTGTATTTATTTGTATTTATTTGTGTATATATATATATATATATATATATATACATGACCGTTTACGCTTGTGTAAGGCAATACTGTTTGGGGGCATCGTTGAACGCCGTCTCCTTCCGTAGCCTCTTTCCAAGGCTTGCAGGGTTTGAGGGGCCTCGGGCGAGCCGACACCTCACTACTTTGGTGCTCGCCCGAGGTCCTCGTCTGCTTCCTCCGGCTCCGACCTGGTCCGCCCCAGGTCGGGGTAGGGACTCCCGAGAGAGAGACGGCGCTGCGAGCGCAAGTGCCCTCTCATGGCCGGAGATCAGGACGAGGAGCTGGACGGGAGCGCGCAGCTGTACACCCCGTCGGGCGACGAGCTGGACGAGGAGGGCGGAGGACTGCCTCCTGTCCCCGCCGAGGATCTGCGGCTCGTCGAAGGCCAGGCGTACTCGTCGACTGGCTACAATGCCCAGGGCGACGTCCAGTGCCGCTTCACGTGGGTCGCCCTTCGCGTCTCCGTCGGAGTCGAGACGTACGCCAGGCCGAGGTTCCTTTTCTCGAGCGACCCGTACTGGGACTGGTGGGCGTCGAACCCAGGCGAGAGGGGTGCTGTGACTGCGCGGCCCCTCGTCCATGTGTGTCGGACGCAGCCGTGCCAGGTCCAGCCCCCGCGGGGCTGCTCAGAGCTGGTGCACATCACAGATGCGACCCCCGTCTCGGCCGACGAGCTGCGGGAGGTCTTTGCGTCGTTCCTCTCGGACAACCCAGACGCGGTCTGGCCCGCCGACCTCTTCGGACCGCGGCTCGCTGGCGGGGTGCCGGCGGAGGCGCCAGCCAGGAGGCCGGCCGCGTCGGAGCAGCCAGGGCTGGACGAGCTTTGGAGCGGCGACGTTGTCGAGGCGGAGGGGAGCAGCCGCCGCGCCAGCCTCCGCGGGAAGCTGGAGGCAGCGCAGGATCGCTTCGCGCGGCTTCAGCAGCAGCGGCGGGCCGCCGCGGGAGCTGCGGAGGCGGTCGCTGCCCTGGACGACAAGCCGCCCGCGAAGGTCCCGCGGCAGGGCGGGCCGCCACCGCAGCGGTCGCTCGCCGAGGTCCTCGAGGACCGCGTGCGGAAGGCGGCGAAGGTCGGGGCAGTTGCCTCGGCCGAGGACGCCAAGGGCGCAGAGGCGGCCGCCCCCGCGGCTGGGCAGGGCGGAGCTGGCGTGCAGGAGCTGCTGACGGCCCTCCTCAAGGCGCTGCAGAGCGCGTCCAGGTCGTCCGACGACCCGTCCTTCGGCGGCGACGGTGGTGTCGCCACTGCCGAGGGCGACTTGCTGCCGAAGGGCCTCGCGTCTCGACGGGCCCACTGCAGGAGATTGGCCCTCGAGCACCCAGGCAGACTCGCGGAGCTGAGCCTGGCGCAGATGGCAGAGTTTCTGGGGTCGCAGGACGGCGGCGGGTCGGTCGATCCGCACGGCCCAATCGTCCTTCGGTTCCTCTTGTCGGTCTACTTGCCGCAGCACCCTGTGAAGGAGATAGGGGGCGAGATCTACCGCGAGCTGCGGACGATCGCGGAGGCGCTGGACCTGTTGCTGCAGGGGCGCACGGCCGCGGTGGCCGACATCCTGGCCCAGCGCTTCAAGGCCATCCAGGTGGCTGTCGGGGACGGGAGCTGGTCGGCGGCGAAGTGGCTCGAGCTGATACCGCCGCGGGACCAGCCTCTCGCGCTGCGCAACGAGGAGGAGGAGATGATCAGGAGCATCCAGCTCGGCGAGCTCAAGCTGGAGGAGCTTGCCTCGCGGCTGCGGCAGAAGCCTCAGGGCTAGCAGGTCGGCCGGGGCGAGGTGGGTTCGGCGTTGCCCCCTCGCCCTGCTGGCCATGCAGGGGGGATACCCCCTGCTGCAGCGCAGGCCCAGGCGCAGAGGCAGCCAGCGGCCGCAGGCTCCGCGGAGGCCGACCGCATGCTGGCCGACAGGGCGGCAGCCCCAGCCCGCTCGGTCGTGCTGACGCGGCCCTGGAAGGATGCCAAGGCGAAGTACCCGAAGAAGCCTGGCGAGACGGTCAAGGCGTACGATGCCCGTCTGCGGAGCCTCGTGCCGACGCTGCGGTAGAGGTCGCCCCGCCGCCCGCAGCGAGCGCTCTTGGGGGGGGCCTGGCCTGCGCGGGCGCCTCTGGGGGCAGCGCTGCGGCCGATGGCCTGCTCAGCGCCGCCGAGGCCCCTCCAGGCCCCCTTCCAGGCCAGGACCCGCTCACCACTTCGGACTTCCAGGACTGGCTGCGCATGCTCACGGTCGGCTTTGGGTCGAGCCTCACTGCCGTGGACTTGTCCGTCACGCTGCTGGGCCTTACCATCACGGACCCTGGGGGTCTGGGCGCCTTCGCTAGGGAGTTCACGATGCGTACGTCCACAAGGCGGGGGAGCGGGGTGCGGGGACGTGACGTCCTCCCGCTGCCCCTGCCCTCTCTCTCCCTGGCGAGGCGATGGATTCGCAGCCGGTGTGGCCCTCGCAGCGGCAGGTGCCGTCTCGCAGGAGTGGCCAGGTCCGTCATGGTGGAGTGCTGGCTTTACATGGAGGTGCTCGGCCTGAACCGCATGTACTGTGGGCGGGCGACCGCCACTTGGCAGCACGAGGGGTCCCTCACGCTGGCGCAGCGGCAGGCCATGGCGCACCTCCTGTCGCGGGCCGAGGTCTTTGCGGAGGACCCCTTCGCGAGCGTGGAGGTGCCCGCGCTGTCGTCCGCCCTCCAGCACGCGGCCATCGACTACAGCGGGGAGCCCACGGTCAAGGCACTCCCGTGCGTGCTCGCGGAGCTGAAGCCGGGCCTGCCGCAGCCAGAGCACGCAGGCGCCTTGGACGCATGCGAGTTCGTGGATGCGGACATCGGCGCCTGGCTGAACGACCCCACGGTGGCGCTGAAGCCCGAGGCTGAGTGGCCCAACCCGCTCCCGAGGGCGCGGGTCAACGTCATCTCTGACAGCGACTGGGAGGCCCTCGCGGTGCACTTGGTGAAGTTGGGCATCTTTACGGTGCTCGAGCCGCATGAGGTGTTCCAGGTGCGGGGCGCTCCGCTCCTCAACGGCCTCTTCGCAGTCGAGAAGAAGGGAGCGCCTGGGCCGGGGGCCGAGCGGGTCACCAGGCTCATCCTCAACATGGTCCCAGGCAACTCGCTCCTCAAGCCGTTCGTCGGTGAGGCGTCTACACTTGCGGCGTCGACGGGGTGGGCGACCCTTCATCTGCCCGAGGGCTCCCTGCTGCTGTGGTCTGGCGATGACCAGAAGGGGGCTTTCTTTGTGTGGCGGATCCCGCGCTGCTGGCATGCTCACATGGCGGTGGGCAAGGCGCTGCGCGGCGACCTGTTTGGGCGCGCGGCGCCGCGGGTCTTCGTCGCCTCAGCTGTCATCTCGATGGGTTGGATGCTCGCCGTGCCGCTGTTCCAGCACATACATCGGCGGCTGTGTCGGCTTCCGCCCCCGCTCGGAGCGGGCCTACCACCAGAGGCAGAGTGGCGGAAGGACACGGTGCGGCCGCTCGCTTTTGCTAAGCAGGGCCCCGTCCTTGCATCTTGGTGGCAGGTATACATCGACGACTTCGACGCCCCCGAGATCATCGAGGAGGCCGCGGCGCTAGAGCTGCTTGGTAGCCAGGCAGAGTTGCAGGCCGCGGCCCGTGCCAGCTACGGCCGTGCGCAGGTGGCGATCTCCTCCGACAAGGCGCACCTCCGCCAGCTTCGCGTTGAGAGGATGGGGGCTTCTGTTGACGGCGTCACGGGGCGGATCGGGGCCCCCCTCAGCAAGGCGTTGTCCGCCTGCGGTCTCGCCATCGCGACGCTCGGCCTGGACTTGGTCCCGTGGAGGCTGGCCATGACTGTGCTCGGCCGCCTTGTCAGGGTCTTCGAGTTCCGACGGCCCTTGCTCAGCATCTTGAATGCAGTGTGGAGGCTTTCAGAGCCGCGGGCGAAGGTCTACCTGACGCGGGAGATGAGGGAGGAGCTGATGACGGCGCTCCTCGTGATCCCGCTCGCCGCTACTTCGTTGAGGAGCCGCCTCGAGGGGATGGCGTCGTGTTCAGACGCGTCCGAGTTCGGGGGCGGGGTCTGCGTGTCGACGGGCCTCCATGAGCAGGCGGAGGCGTCTATCCTCGCCGCCGGCGAGCCTGGCGCTCAGCTGGGCGCGGGGGCGAGGGTCCTCGGCCTGCCAGTCGATCCGCGGGCGCCCTGGACTCGCAGCAATCCGCGGATCCCGCGGGCCATCGTCGCCCGCGTCCTCAGGGTCCTCTGCATCGGGCTGTTCGACGGCATCGGCGGGCTGGCGGTCGCGCTCTCGCGCCTGCCCGTGCGCATCGTCGGGTACGTGAGCGCCGAGACGGACGCCAAGGCCAGGAGGGTCGTACGGCTCAGGTGGCCAGGCGCCATCGACTGGGGCGACGTCAGGACCGTGACCGCCCAGACGGTGGAGGATTTGAGGATCGTCTACCAGTCCGAGGTCGACCTTGTGGTCGCGGGCGCAGGCAGCCCGTGCCAGGGGCTCACGGGGCTGAACGCTGCTGGGCGAGGCCTGGCCGACCCGAAGTCTTCGGTCTTCTTCGAGGTGCCGCGCATCTTCGGGCTGCTGTCAGACGCTTTCGGGGCGCGCTTCAGGTGGTTCGTGGAGAACGTCGCGGGCATGACGTCCAGCAGCCTGCGTGGCATGAGCCAGGCCCTCGGCGTCAAGCCCGTGTTCCTGTGTGCCTCGGCTCTGGTGCCCTGCAGGAGGCCGCGGCTGTATTGGCTGAGCTGGAGCGTCCGCCCCACCCCGCCGCTGGTCCTCCAGGAGCGTGAGGATATGTTCGTTGTCAGCTGCAGTGAGCCGCCCCTGTTGAATTTGGATTGGCGGGATCCTGGGGCGCGCTGGATCGGCGAGCCTGGGCCTTACCCCACCCTCGTGTGCAGCAGGCCCCAGCGAGGCTACCCTTCAGCGCCGCGCGGGGTGAAGAGTGCTTCGCCCGAGGCGCTCGCTCGCTGGCAGTCGGATTCGTACCGCTACCATGTTGCGCTCTACGAAGAGAAAAACCTCTTGCAGGACAGCGACGGGTCCTTGCGAGTCCCTTCGAGCTCCGAGCGGGAGAGGATGATGGGATTCGACGTGCGTTACACGGCTGTAGCCACGAAGGGCTCGAACCAGCAGGATAGCGACGACGCCAGGTCCTTCCTACTGGGCAACAGCTTCAATGTGTTCTCGGTCGCTTGGCTGCTGCAGTGGCTCTTGCTGAGCCTGGGAGCTGTGACGCGCCCGCTGTCCATGCAGGAGCTGGGGCACGTCGGCGAATGCACGCCGTCGTGGGACGAGACGGGCTGCTTCGAGAGCGACGCGGGGGAGCCAGAGACCGAGGCCAGCCGCCTCTTGCTCCTCAGCTACCTCGCCAGGTCCGAGAAGGGCGGGAGCGATGTGCGTCTCGACGTGAACCTGCCGTACCGACCGAAGGGGTGGCCCAGATCGTCGCTGGACCCGTTCGTGTGGAAGTGGCGAGTCGTGCTGAGTATAGCTTGGCCCAAGAGGCGGCAGGCGCACATCAACGTCAGGGAGCTGCAGGCCGCGCTCGCGGCGCTTCGGTGGCGGGCTCGCGCCGCTCGCCGCCACTGCAGCCGCTGGCTCCACCTCGTGGACAGCCAGGTCGTCGCGGCCATCATCACGAAGGGCCGGAGCAGCAGCGCTCGCTTGCAGCCCATGCTCCGGCGCTGGGCAGCGGTCGCGGTCGCGGCCGACATGTACCCGCTGATCGGCTACATCGTGTCGGAGAACAATCCGGCCGACGAGCCATCGAGAAAGCTGTGGCGTGGCTCGCGGCTCAGGGGGCGCGGCAGTCGCGCGCCCTTGGTGCGCAAGGCCGCCCGTGCAGGCCGCCCGTGAGGCGGCGTGACCCGCGAGCCCACACCCTCTCGTCGCTCCGCGTTGGGGTGGCGACCCGCAGGCGGTATGCCGTTGCGGTCCGCAGGCTCTTGCAGTACTACGGCGCTGAGGAGAGTGGCACGACTGCGCTCGCGCTGGCCATGGACGATGCGGACGGCTTGGTCGCTAGCTTCCTTGAGAGGCTCTGGGCTGAGGGCGCTGGCATTGCAGCTGCGAGCAACACCATCGCGGGCGTGGCCTTTTTCTGCCCGTCTTTGCGCAGGAAGCTCGACTTGTCCTGGTCACTCCTGCGGACGTGGCGCCGCCAAGAGCCTGCGGCGCGCGTCCTCCCGCTGACTGCGGAGCTGGTCGGCGGCATGGCGGGCTACGCCATCGCAGCAGGCGCCTTTGATTTCGCCTGCCTTCTTCTCGTCAGCTTTGAAGCGATGCTGCGAGGAGGGGAAGCTTTCAGCCTCACTGCAGGCGACGTTCATGATCGTGCATCGTGTATGGTCATCCGCATTGGCAGCAGTAAGACCACGGCGGGCAAGGATGCAGCTGAGGCCGTGGTGGTGCGGTCTAGGGCCTGTGTGCGACTGCTGCGACTGGTTGTGGCCCATCTCGCGCCTTCAGACAGGCTCTCGCCGAGGTCGCCAAACCAGCTCAGGGCAGGCTTGCAGCGCTTGGCCGAAGCGCTCGGTTTTCGAGGTCTCTTCAGCTGGCACAGTTGCCGGCGAGGCGGAGCAAGTGACTTTTTCTGCCGCTCCGGCTCAATGGAGCAGACACTCGTCAAAGGCCGCTGGGCCAGCACTTTGACTGCGAGAATTTATATTGAAGATGCAGTTGCTGACCTAGTGATGGTCAGGCCGCAGGATGAACAATGTTCGAATGTTCAGTGCGGCCTCCAGATTCTCCGTGAATTTGTCAGATTGTGAGAGTTGAATGTGCAACTTCTATTCCCTATCCAGCCGTCCCTCTTTGTGCCCATTGCATGAGTGTGTGTACATATCTCTCAGCTTCGCTGACTTTCCATGCCTAAGTCTAGGCGGTGACTGGAAGTTAGCCTCACGGTTGTAGAGTTTTTAGAATAGTTTCTCTTAGACGGCGTGGGCGCCAAGGTTGGAGACGTGGGGAGTTAGCTGGTGACCTTCAGGGTGTGCCTTTCTGGTGCCGCACGTTCCAGCGCGTGGCCGAGGGTGTCTGTGTGGGACTTGTGGTCGGCCTCCCACGGGATGGGTGCCTCGG